ATAAATAAATAAATAAAGGGGGGAAAGAACTGTAAGGAGAAAAAATGGATTTTACTGGATAAAGAAACTTGAAGAATGGTTCCAATATAGCACAACTTCATTGCTTGGCAATGCTGCATCCAAATTCATTATGGCTGTGACAACGGTATCCAGTTCCTGGTAAGAACAAAAGAAGGCCAGAGATTTGTTGCTTTTTATGACCACAAATATATTCTACCTCACGCAGCAGCCACACTGGGTGGATTACTTAATGTGTCGAAATACTGGCAACAATCCAGAGATGAGCATGGTTAACATGTACATGAAACAGGGATGAGCAGTATGTGGCCCTTCAGAAGTTGTTGGAATGTAAAGAGCCTAACCCTTCACATGGAAGCTAGGACTGATGGGAACTGTAGTCCAGTGACATCTGAACAGATGCAGAAATTGTTCAGCTCAATATGAAGGGATCCTGGGTGTGATGTATGGGGAGATATGGTTCCCCCTTAAGTAGTTCCATCTCAGGAGCCAATACTATTTAAAATTCTACAGTATTTGCTATGGCATTAAGGTGCCAAAGACAGATCCAGATTAACTAGATTGTGAGCTTCCCTTCCACTCCCCCCACACTTACTTGTGGAAATAAAAAAATGCTATACTTACAGCTGAACAGTATTAAAAAGCTTTGTGAGTAAAAGAAGGAGAAGAGGATCCGTTTGTCATTTTCTCTACCCTTGACATTTCCAAGCCCTTTGTCCTTTGAATCTGCTTTTTTCTTTTGATGTGAGCAAGACACAACATTGAGATGGAACAGGCAGGTTTGCTTGGAAGGGTGTCGCAAAACCCTTGGCCCAAAAGTGGCAATGAAGAAATGGCAGTAGCACAGCCCCAGACCTTTAAAAAGTAACTCTCTTGGACTACATCTCCCAGATCCCCCACCAGGCATGACCAGTGGCCATGCTGCCAATGTTGTAGTCTAGATTAAAATTTCAAAACCATGCTCAGTCTTCTCATACAAATGCTCTTTCATCCTAGACTCTATAGTGCTAACACCACTTATTAACAATATGTTCTGGTGGTTGCTGAGAACCAGAAGGAAATGAATATATACAGACCATCAAAGCTGATATTTCAGTGGGATCATGTACAAACATCTTGGAGGAAAACTGGTAGTCAAGGCTAAGTTCCCAGTGCTCCACAAAACCTGAAAAGAGGATGGAGAAAATGATTATAAGTGTATGATCTAAAAACTATCAGCTACCTCTCCAGAAGAGACTGTAGTCCCAAAGAATACTTGTGAAACTGCAGGAGTGCATATTTAGAGCATAATGATCTCATTGGGTAGAGAGGTTTTGTGATGATAAAATGAGAGTTGGGAGGACAATGTGTCCTGCTTGAGCTCCTTGAAGGAAAGGGTGGGGGCTATAAATATAATAAAGTAATAAAATAATGTGATGTATGTAGGACTGATACCCAGTCTGATGCACTGGATAGAGTGATGGGCCACAACTCAGGCATCCTGGGACTGAATCCCTTCTTGGCCATGGAAACTCACTGGAAGGAGTGTGTGATGGGTAAAGCCACTCCTTAAATATCTTACACACTTTGAAAGCCCTGTTACGGTCAATCTAAGTCAGTTTTGACTTGAGGGCATATAATATGTTGACTGCCCTTGATGGCAATTACAAAACATTCAAATGTGCTTGTTACAATTTTAAATGGAGTGATATAAACCTTATTTTCCACTGATCTTGTATCA